GCCCCCCAGCCCTTCCAGACACTGCTGGGAAGGGGTGGGTCGGGCTGGGGGAGCAGCTGGAGGTGGTGGGGTCGATGCAGTTGGTGCTGCCAGTGAAAACCTGCCCCACAAACGGGCTCTTTGGGTCCCATCAGCAGCCACTGCAGGTCCCTCCTGCTCTGCCCATGAGCCCCGTGCAGCCCCTCACCCTGGTGCTGGCTGGGGTGCAACCCCCACCCTGGGGGGCTTCCAAGAGCCACCTTCTCCCTGGCCAGGAGGGGGTTTCCTCTCCCTTTCCAACACAGGCCATCAAATCCCTTGGGAAAAGTGTGGTAGAGTTTATTTCTGGTCCACGGGAGAACAGGGAAACCAGGAGATTCACCTGGGAGGAGAAAATGAAACCTGGATGGAAAGTCCTGAGGCTGAGCCCAGCCCAGCTGGGACTGGCAGGGGGGATGTCCCTGTGGAAGGGCTGGAGGACGGTGAAGATGGAGCAGCTGAGACCGGGAGGAGGATGAGGATGAAGTTGCCAGCCCACTCTGTGGGAGTTAATCCAGCTCTGGCTCCTCATCACCTTCTTCTTTCTCCTGCCCAGGCAGGGGACAGGCATCCTGTGGGACAGGAGGAGAGTGGCCATTGGTTTCCCCCTTGGCCCAAGAATTGGGAATGAGCAGGGAGGAGAGGGAACCCATCTTGTATCTCCTCCCCACTCAGAGCCCCTGTTCCAGCTGGTGGCAGGAGCTGGGCTGGGTCTTGCCCACCCTGGGGAAGGGGTTGGACCTTTTCAGATGTGAAGAACATCTCCTCCTCGGTGAAGCCCAGGCAGTGCAACTGGGCTTTGAACTCCTCCAGCTGCTCCTTGCTCACGTTGTGTGTTCGTGCTGCCGGGGAAAGGAGAAGGGGGGGAAGAAAGGGGGTTCCAGGGGGTGCTTTGCTGCTTGGAGGTCCCCATGGTGGGCACAGGGAGCTCCCTGCCTGCCTGGTCCCTGGTCCATCCTTCCCTCTACATCTTGGGGAGTAAAAGGGGCTTTTTGCCCTGCCTGTGAGAGCTGGGCATGGCTGTGCCCACTGATGGGACGTGCCCCATAGATCTGGGGCAGCCTCCACTCACCTGAGAGGCTCAGACCCAGTTCGTTGTCATGAAAGTGCTTCAGGATCAGCAGGTCCTTGTCGCTTTGGATCACCTCAGCCATGGAAACTCTTTGGTCATCAACTGGAAGGTAGGGGGGAAAGCAGGGTCCCCTCTGGGTGACTGTCACCCACTGCCAGGGTGGCAGAGGTGGCAGTGCTGGGGGCAGCTCATCCCCTGACCCCCAGGAGCCCAGCTGGGACCCACAGCACAGCCCTGCCCACCGCATGGGCCAGGGAAAGTTTTTTACCCTGCACCTCCAGACATGACATTGGGTGGAAAATATTTCCATGTTGAGGGCTCAGGGTCTCAAATACCAAGGGACAGAACTTGGTGGGGGGAGTTTGTGCTCTTCCCTTCGCCCTCCCACCAGCTGCCCGTGGCTTTACCATGCAGCAGGGTAGAGTTGTGCCTGAAGACCTGGATCCCATCGGTGTTCCTCACCACACACGTCTCGTTCCTGCAGGGCAGAGAGGTCAGATGGGGCAAACACCCCCCCGGCCAGACCCGAGGGACTCAGGGCTGCAGAGCTTCACTGGATTTGGCAGAGCTGCCCTCCAGCCCCAAAGCTGTGGGGGGGGTCTCAGCCTGGACGCTGGTGCTGGTGGGTGGGAATGCCCCAGGGAGGGGGTGAATCCCCATCCTTACACTCTAACAATTTTGGTGGCATTGAGCTCGTCCTCGTTGCTGCCAGGAAAGTAGGAAAAAGCTGCATGTTTCATGGTCTTAACCTGCTCCAGGTAATGCGGGTGCCGGGAGACACTGGCAATATAGATCCAGTGTCCCAGGATCTGTGGAGAGCAGGGAAGGGGGTGTGAGGTTGGCATCTCAGATTCACCCATGGCCAAACCCCTGCCCTCCCAGTGCCACCAGCACCCCCAGGCACAGACAGTCCCAGGCAGGATCCAGGCTCCTGGATTCGTCCCCTCCTTGCCAAGGAGATGAGGAGGGAGCAGGAGCTGCTGCTGGAGCCAGGGTGGCTGAGGTGCTGCCAGGCAAGGCGAGGGCAGGGCTGGGCTTACCCCAGGGAGGGTGTCATTGTCCAGGGGGAGCGTGCGGAGCGGGGCGCAGGCGGGGGGCTCGGCGGGGAGGGTGAGGGGCAGCCCCAGCAGCAGGGTGAGGGGCAGCCCCAGCAGCAGGGTGAGGGTGCTCAGCATGGCCTGGCCGGGCAGAAGGAGCCTCCTGCTCTCTGGGGCTGCTGCTCATCTCAGCCCCTTATCTACTGCCGAGCTGGGCGTCCCCAGCCCCCCTGGGCTTGGCCAACCCACGGGCTGTTTGCTCAGGTGTGAAGCAACAGCAGCTGCAGGGAATGAGCCTTGCAAAAGCTTGGCTTTCTGAAGCAGGGGTGACAAAAACAGAACCACCCCAAAAATGCCCAGTGCCCCCACATTCCACCAGCACAGGCTTTTGTTCTCAGAGCTGCAATTCATTTTGCAGGTGCCCAGCCAAGTGCTTGAGCAGCTCCAGGTGTGTTTGCAAGTGGAGCCCTGGGGTCACTGAGCTGCTCCTGGCCGGGGCTTCTCTCCATGGGCCAGATCAATCCCCGTGGCCATGACTTCTCTCCATGGGCCAGATCAATCCCCATGGCCATGGCTGGGTGGTGGCTGCTCATGCTGGGGCTGTGAGGGCTTCAGGTCTGTCCTGGCATTGCTCCTCGCCAGGGCACAGGGGGGGGGACCTGCTGAGTGTGCCCAGAGGAAGCCACGAGAAATGATCCAAGGGCTGGAGCTCCTTTGCTCTGCAGACAGGCTGAGAGAGCTGAGGTAAAATTACATCATCTGTAAATGCAGGTCTCTGTCTTTAGCAGAGCCTTACACGTCCTCCAACTTTGGCCTGTTCTTCGAGTGCATTGACCTGTTTATCAGATGTGTTTGCTCTTGCTCCAAAACTCACACCATGCTTGGGACATGCCTGGCTCACCTCAGCCCCTAGCCAGCCAGGATTCCATGTGCTGCAAAGCTGAGCTGGGGCCATTGCCCTGCTGTGCCCGGGGTGTCCCCCAGCCCCTCCAGACACTGCTGGGAGGGGGGGGGTCGGGCTGGGGGAGCAGCTGGAGGTGGTGGGGTCGATGCAGTTGGTGCTGCCAGTGAAAACCTGCCCCACAAACGGGCTCTTTGGGTCCCATCAGCAGCCACTGCAGGTCCCTCCTGCTCTGCCCATGAGCCCCGTGCAGCCCCTCACCCTGGTGCTGGCTGGGGTGCAACCCCCACCCTGGGGGGCTTCCAAGAGCCACCTTCTCCCTGGCCAGGAGGGGGTTTCCTCTCCCTTTCCAACACAGGCCATCAAATCCCTTGGGAAAAGTCTGGTAGAGTTTATTTCTGGTCCACGGGAGAACAGGGAAACCAGGAGATTCACCTGGGAGGAGAAAATGAAACCTGGATGGAAAGTCCTGAGGCTGAGCCCAGCCCAGCTGGGACTGGCAGGGGGGATGTCCCCTTGGAGGGGCTGGAGGAGGAGGAGGGTGAGGATGGAGCTGCCGACCCAGCCCTCAAGGGTTAATCCAGCTGTGGCTCCTCGGTGCCTTCTTCTTTCTTCTGCCCAGGCAGGGGACAGGCATCCTGTGGGACAGGAGGAGAGTGGCCATTGGTTTCCCCCTAGCCCCAAAACTGCCCCCAAGAACTGGGAATGAGCAGGGAGGAGAGGGGCTGCAGGGGGGGACCCATCTTGCTCCCCCCCACCCTGGACCCCCATCCAAGTCAGTGGCAGGAGCTGGGCTGGGTCTCGCCCACCCTGGGGAAGGGGGAAGGGGTTGGACCTTTTCAGATGTGAAGAACATCTCCTCCTCGGTGAGGCCCAGGCAGTGCAACTGGGCTTTGAACTCCTCCAGCTGCTCCTTGCTCACGTTGTGTGTTCGTGCTGCCGGGGAAAGGAGAAGGGGGGGAAGAAAGGGGGTTCCAGGGGGTGCTTTGCTGCTTGGAGGTCCCCGTGGTGGGCACAGGGAGCTCCCTGCCTGCCTGGTCCCTGGTCCATCCTTCCCTCTACATCTTGGGGAGTAAAAGGGGCTTTTTGCCCTGCCTGTGAGAGCTGGGCATGGCTGTGCCCACTGATGGGACGTGCCCCATGGATCTGGGGCAGCCTCCACTCACCTGAGAGGCTCAGACCCAGGAAGTTGTCATTGAAGTGCTTCAGGATCAGCAGGTCCTTGTCGCTTTGGACCAGCTCAGCAGTGGAAACCACCTGGTTGTCAACTGGAAAGCAAATGGAGAGTGGGGTTCCCCATGGGTGACTGTCACTCCATGCCAGGGTGGCAGTGCCAGGGGCTTCTGGTTCCCTGAGCCCCAGGAGACTCATCCCAGTTGAAACCTCTTGGGTCCTATAGCAGGTCCCAAACAGGGACAGACAGTTTTTTAAGTGTAAAATGGCTCATTGTCTGGGGCTCTGGGTGTCAGATACCAGGGGGAAGGTGTTTTGCTCCCTGCCCTGTCACCCCCAAGCTGCCCATGGCTTTACCATGCATCAGGGTGGAGTTGTGCCTGAAGACCAGGATCTTGGTGTTGTTCCTCATCACACACGTCTCATTCCTGTGGGGCAGAGAGCTCAGATGGGGCAAACACACCCCCAACAGCCCCCTAAAAACCCATGGGACTCAGAACTCAAGCCAGGATTTAAAAAAAATTAGATGTGAATCCCCCTCCTTACACTCTCATCACTTCAGTGACATCGAGCTCATCCTCCTGCCCGCTGGGAAAGATGGAAAAAGCTGCATATTTAACCCCTGCCATCTCTGCCTGGTGAGGTGGGTACTGGGAGGCACCCACGATGTAGATCCAGTGTCCCAGGATCTGTGGAGAGCAGGGAAGGGGGTGTGAGGTTGGCATCTCAGATTCACCCATGGCCAAACCCCTGCCCTCCCAGTGCCACCAGCACCCCCAGGCACGGACAGTCCCGGGCAGGATCCAGGCTCCTGGATTCGTCCCCTCCTTGCCAAGGAGATGAGGAGGGAGCAGGAGCTGCTGCTGGAGCCAGGGTGGCTGAGGTGCTGCCAGGCAAGGCGAGGGCAGGGCTGGGCTTACCCCGGGGAGGGTGTCATTGTCCAGGGGGAGCGTGCGGAGCGGGGCGCAGGCCAGCCCCAGCAGCAGGGTGAGGGGCAGCCCCAGCAGCAGGGTGAGGGTGCTCAGCATGGCCTGGCCGGGCAGAAGGAGCCTCCTGCTCTCTGGGGCTGCTGCTCATCTCAGCCCCTTATCTACTGCCGAGCTGGGCGTCCCCAGCCCCCCTGGGCTTGGCCAACCCACGGGCTGTTTGCTCAGGTGTGAAGCAACAGCAGCTGCAGGGAATGAGCCTTGCAAAAGCTTGGCTTTCTGAAGCAGGGAAGAGGGAAAAAACCCAACAACACAACAACCCAAAAAGCCTCATCCAGCTCCACCCCCCCCCATTTTACCAGCACAGGCTTTTGTTCTCAGAACTGCAATTCATTTTGCAGGTGCCCAGCCAAGTGCTTGAGCAGCTCCAGGTGTGTTTGCCAGGGAGGCCCCAGGGTCTGAGTGACCTGGTCTGGTTGAGGATGTGCCTGCTCATTGCAGGTCTGCAGCAGGTGGCCTTTAGGGTCCCCACATTGAACCATTCTGTGATTCTCTGGTCACCTGCACCTTTAAAAGCAAACCAGAACAACCAGACATCTCCTTCTCCTCCCCACCAGTGCCACTTCCATGAACTTACTCTATCCCAGCAGCTGCAGTGAGATCTCTAAATCCATTGAATTTGGGTTTTTTTTATCCCCTTTTCAGCTGAGCTCCCATCCTCAGCCCTTGCTGCTTGTGCCTGGTCTCAGTGAAAAAATGGCCTGTGGGTGCTGATAATATAAGGGATAATTATAACTAATCTGAAAAGAACTGGTAGAGACGGGGACTTGTGGAATAACTTCTGTCTGGGGGAGGGGTTGTCTGTGGCAATGGAACAACTGGGCTTAGACTTTTAACAAAATGAATAAACTACATCATCTTTAAATGCAGATCTCTCTACTTAAGTGTCTCACACACCCTCCAGCTCTGGCCTCACCACGAAGTGCATTGATCTACTTATTACATTGATCTATTTTATTACATCTGTTTGCTTTTCCCCCCAGCACTTTCACCATGGCTCAGGACTGGTTGGCTCCTCTCAGCCCCAAACCAGCTGGTTTTTAGCCAGGGGTCAGAGCTGAGCTGGGGCCCTGGTCCAACAGCCTCCTGGGAATCCCTCAGCCCCTGCAGCAGCTGCTGGGAAGGGGTGAGGAAACACAGCCCTGCCCCTTCCCGCTGCCTTTCCTGCTCCCCTGACACAACAGCTCCTGTGTGCCAAGTTGTGGGGTCACCCCTGTGCCACCCACGAGGTTTTGGTGCAAGGCTGGGGCCAGGCAGCCTCCTAAGCAAGGAGAAATTTGGTCCCAAGGTCCTCTTGGAGCCACTGAGATGGGATTTGGGCTTCAGAAATGAAAACAATCAGCTCAACCCATCTAACTATATTATTATTATTATTATTATTATTATTATTATTATTATTATTATTATTATTATTATTATTATTATTATTAT